CTCTGCAGAAATATCTTGGTTTTGCTAAGGGTCACAGCGACTCTACACTTTTACTTTTTTTCATTTTCTGCCTCTTCGTTCTAATAGGCCTGTCACTGAAAACTCACAAAATTATTAAAGTATACATTTCATTGATGTCAAAATAGTACAGTTTCTTATAGTATGTAAACAATAGACTCACTGTGTCTCTTGATATTGCTTCTGCTATTGCTACTGTCCCCTGGGTTATTTTGTATATTTGGGTTCCAGTTTGTGACACTTGGACAAATTTAACAAATTGATTCAACAAAATTTAAATTATGTTTAACTGAAGCTTAACTACATATTGCCAATGACCAATTACCAGGAAATTTAGCAATGCAATGTTTTTCCACTCCAATTCGGAAAAGGTAAACTTATTCAAGATTTCTGTCAACAATTGGGGAGGGGAAGAGTTTGATGAGTGGAATAAGTAAACAGAAAAATACCAAATATACCATAATGGCAACTGAACTAGCCAATAATAAAAGAGTTGACATTATTTGGAACCATGTATTCATTTTACCTGTAGAGCAGTACTACTCACATGAATGCATCATCTCATATGCAGCCCACCAGCCATGACGCGTGGGACACATATTTTTCTGAGCTCAGTTTCGCTCTTGTTAATTATTCTTTTATTTCATGACTACTTCAAGTGCTTCTGAATAGTGGAGCAGTGATTTTTGGCTGTCACATGGTGAAAGACTCTAGGCGTATGTACCGGCCTGATGATTGGTACTTCCTGTATTCCCTGCCTCATAAGGTCATGCTGCTTTTGCCCACTCAGCATCAACCCCCATTGAATCTCCCACACAAGTCAAGGTCTTTGCCCATTCAGCATCATGTATTGGTGTCTTGCCACTTTGCTCTTAGATGCACCCTGATGGCACTCAACCTAGGCTCACTACCTCATCACATTCCTTTGCCAAGGACCCCACCTGCCACAAGCCATCATGAGTTTTGTCCCCTGTCCATCCTTGTCATATCTCTTGCATGGCATTGCCACTGCAGTCCCTGGATGACCAGGTATATTTTCAGATTCTCTCCTCCTGCAGGGTGAGCAACCCCAAGGTTCCACACCCACATTCACTTTGTTACCCCCATTGGTTTCAGTCTTGTTACAGCACTTTATATTTGGAGCATGTAGGTACCCGGTACACTACCACTGCCTTGCTTTGATCACCATTCCAGGCTTTTTCTCCAGTAATGTTGATGCCTGTTGCCTACTACAAGAGCATCCTCTTTAGGCAATGTCAATGCAAGACTTGCAATGTCTAAAAAGAGCAAAACAACCTACTCTTCACCATCCTCGTGATTCAACTGTGGACAGGTTATATACTTGAAACAGACTCAGAAGCTGATTTGTCTGACAGCCAAGACCGACTACTTGAATCCTAAGCCACAGAGCTAGAACTCTCTCTAGAAAAGGCCAGGACCAATTGGTAAGCAAAGATTTTGCTTCCGCTGCCTTGCCCAACCTCTCTGGGAGACAGTGCACCACTGTCACCACGTAAAGCAAACAAGTACATTGAGTAAAAAAGTCAGTCGAAACCAAGTAGTCCCTACCCTGTCTGGCTTCCAGACTCCAACCACCACACCTCCCTAGAGGTTTAAACTACGAAACCAGCTTTGTTACCCTGGTTGCTGGAAAGAGTGATGGACACTGCTGCTCTGACTCACCTGGCTACAAGCAGAGGCTATTGACCAGATGAAGGACACCTTCTCCAGATACGAAACGTGGAAACAGCCAAGAGACTCTTTGACTTCTTCCTACACAGGCAAAAGACATTACAAGGCACCAAACACAAATGGTGAACCACCAGGCCAAACCAACTACTAGACACAAACGGTCCTTTTAAGAACCCACACCCATTTACCAAAGTGATTGTATCTGTGTCTGCTACTTTTACTTGAACATGGCAAAATAGAAAACTAACTAAACTAACCGAAAAACAAATAAACTCATAGCCAACAGCAAACTCAATGCTACCCACAGTTCCTAACTTAAAAGACAATCTAGAACCACACACCGCGCTACCATAGCCAAAATTAGTGAACTCTTCATCAGCAACCTATACAGGCAATCCATTTCTACATCCGTAAAAATAACCCTATAACTGTAAAGGTTTCAACTTTGTTCCAAGCTCAGCTAAACCCACCCGTCACTCACTCATTGATGATATCATTGACTTCAATAGACGTATGAGAATCACATATCTTAATTATTATTATTATTATTAATGGTTTATTTTATTAAACTTTCACGGCCAAAAGGCCGAATTGCAGTTTAATTTACACACATTAAAAATCGTTATATATTAAATGCGAAACCATTCACTTATACCTCTATCTTTAAAACATCCATGCTCATGGCATCCAAAAAAGGCATCCAAAAACCACTCCCAATCTCATACTTGAGATATACTTGGAAGCCACCAAAATAGAACTAGCCCACATCAGACTGACATACCCCCTCACTAATATGTCAAAAGCAGAAATAGGACAAAAGTGCATTCATGCTCTCCCCAAGGAAATGAATCCATTTTCTAATGTCCATCCAGCCCCATACTCAGAGGTTTAGTTTTTGACAGGTCCAATTGGTCACCCAATTACATGTCCAATTCCCACTGCCCAACTTTTGTCCAACATGACAAACAGGGAAATTGACCAGATAAGAAAGTATCTCTGAATGGGATAGAGCCACTGTTTTCATAATATCCAATTATTTGCCCCTATGGTACCCATGGTCATCCTTGACATGACTTGGTGTATGCTGGTCTCCCTCAATCACCCCCATAGCAATATGTTTTATCTGTCATGGATTTAATCCCCCCCCCCCCAAAAGCTTCTACATTGTAAAGTTTGCACCTGTGCACAGTTCATTGTTTGGCTATTTAGTGGTGAATGGGTCGAAGCATTTCTCTCCTTGACTTTGAGACTGATTGCCAGACATAATCTTCTCTATTCCTCGGCTCTTTTTGGCTTATAGCCCATCCACCACCTAAACCAACCCCTCTGACTGGTAGCGTTGGGAAGCCTGGGCATCATTCCAAACCAGCATCCCTGTCCTTCCAGTTTGGTTCATTATCTCTGCCTGTATTTTGTGATGCATCTACCTTGCCATGACGCAAACCACAGCTGACTCCCCAGAAGCTGCATAGCCTTGGTCAATGCTCTCGTCGTTATTCGTCCCGTACGCGGTCAATAATCGTCGGCATATATCCTCATGCGCTATGCACATGCATGTAAAAATACAGCGCGAACAGCGACCTCACGCGGCCACTATTTTTATGCAAATCAGTTGGAGACGATGTCGAGCCTTGGTTCAATCGTCCATGTGAGGTTTTGGGGGTGGTGCTCATTATGTTAATAGCCTTAGCTGACCTTAAATGTCGTTTTCTTATTGGTCGATCGTTGCGTGGAAACTTGCATAGTGAAACGTGGCACCGTACATAATCCATACACGTACACATTGTGTGTCTCTGCACACGGCACCAATGCACAAAAACTGTGGTTCCTGTCACGTCCGCAAAAGCCGGAATAGCTGCAAATAATTTGATGACGTCCGGATTTACCAAGGTGTGATTGGACACTCCACATATTAGCCCCGCCTACATTATCTGTATTCGCATACGAGGTCGTGCGCTGGAAATCTAGCGCAAAGTAAAGAAAAACATAAGCTTTGGCCGACGATTGAACCAAGGCTCGACATCATCTCCAACTGATTTGCATAAAAATAGAAGCCGCGTGAGGTCGCTGTTCGCGCTGTATTTTTACATGCATGTGCATAGCGCGTGAGGATATATGCCGACGATTATTGACCGCGTACGGGACGAATAACGACGAGAGCATTGACCAAGGCTAGAAGCTGCAATGAAATGGATGTACAGTATAGCCCGAGTTAACCATCAACAACTGATAATCCACAATCAAGATGGTCATTGCTTCCCCCCCCCCCGCCCCCTGCAAAGAACCTGCAGCATGATGCCGCATACAGTTTATTCAGCAGCTGCTTGTGCTGTTTTGTGGGTTCTATTTAACAGCACTGACACCCATGAAAGTTAAAAATAGTATTGCTTAGGAGTAGATGTGGTCAAAAATTCCCATAAGATCTTTTTCACCCTCAGGAGATTATTCAAAGTCATTTCCTAGACGTAAGCTGAATTGCAAGACTAAAAAAAAAAGAGTCTGGTACCTATGGTCCACAACTCAAGCTACTTAGGTTCTATGAAATTGTCTCTAAGCACTTCTCCCCTCCTTTCCCAACATCAGTATATGGACTCCATAGCCTTAGGTCAGGAGGATCTAAAACAGTGGACACAAAGTAAGGTAGATAGTCATTCTACACAGCAGGCAATACATTCATTGGAAACGAAGTCTACACTAGGTTTTTTTCAGTCTTTGGTGTCTGAACATAAACATGAGACTCTGATGCCAGCAGTGACTTGTTTACTCATTCTTTTGTTGCTGTGAGAATAAAGCAAGGAAGGTGGTTCTCCATTCCACTTACTCTTGGATGAGGGTGATACTGAAAAAGAATAATTCTCTTACCTGAACTGAAGGTGCAGCCCACAGTTATCTTCAGTGATTCCCGTACCTTGTTCCAACTGGATTCTGAGTCACTATGTTGAGATGACATGTGGTTCCATGTGGATGCTGATTTCAAGCTGTTTAATAGTCAGGGCAAATGTGAACAGGAACATAACTTTGTGAAGTCACAGCAAGTTTTTGCACTGTAACTGTGCACAGTTCATATGTGCTGAACACGTCAACTCTGGCAAACGTTTGCAGTGAATGTTTCATGATGTTAAATTCGCTAGTAGTATGAACTGACTTTGATATTTACATGTATCAAGTATATATTACTGCTTAATGTTATTGATATCTACACGTATAATTCCCCAATATAGTACATGTATACTTAATTATGTAAAGTAGTATGTCGTTGACAGAAAATCTATTTTCTTTCCTTGGTACAGGTATTGCACATCCAGCTGAATTCCAAGGTGGCACCGTACACTTATGATATCAGAGAGGCATATGTAGATGATGGTAGGCAAGTGTCAGGCTCATCAGTAGCTGCCTACTATAATAAGCAACTTCTTATTGGTTCAGTTGCTCATAAGTTGGCACACTGTCAGGTAGTGGCCTTCTAGGTCTGTTTCTTAATGCTTTTCTTTTATCTCTGTTATATTTAAATTGCGAATGTCTAAGGCATTGCTCTGTCATTATGCTTAAAGTCTGGCCAGTAATATTGGCTGTTCATCCTCAAATCATGTTATATTTGTACAACACTTACATTTTCTATGTCTTGATTGGCCCGAGCATGCCACATGGTATTCCTTATGGCACTTTTAGTTCACTTTCGAAAACCACAACAAAAGGGACACACAGCATGCACGTACAATTTGGGTGATTTACAATGCAGTGCGCCACCAAAAGTTTGCCATGGAGAGTCCATTTTTCAAGTTTACAGTCGACAAAACATGGCCCATTTGAATAAGTGTCAGTAGACAATTTGAGCTAATTTGTTATAGATTGGAACATACGGCTTTCTGCCGCCTTACACAAAACACCATGTTGATCAAAAGAAAAGAAAAGGGCAAGCAGATACTCAAAATGCTCCGTGGGAAACTCTTGGTGGCGCACTGCATTGTGAATCGCCCGAATTGCATGCATGCGTTTGGCGCTTAATACACACAACGTGTTTTGTTCTGCATGTGCACAGACCTGTGTGAGCATCAGGGGTCATCGGTCATATGTTCAAATGTTCTTTTTTCATATACTGCCCCCAGTTTAAAAAAATGTGTTATTCCACATTTCTTTGCAATCAAGAACGAGTGTAAGCCAGCTAGTCTGGTTGCCTCTTTTGTTTGTACTTTAAACTTTTTAGTAACACCTCCCATATGTGTTGTACACGATTGCAATTGTGGATGTGGCAGGCCATGATAGTGGTGCACTTTGTGTCCAATCAGTATTATTTGAAGAATGAGACAAAATGTACAGTGTGAGGTACAAAACAGAACTAAGTTTTTTAAGTTGTTGATTTTTACTTGGTTTTAGGTTTTAGTTTACCGGTAGTCTTTGCTTTTAGTTACACGTACATTGTATTTTTTTTTTTTTTTTTAAAGTTCAGTCTTTTAAGTTGGTTTTTGGTCTTTGATTTACAGTTCTTGAAAATATTTTTATTTTTTTGGGGTCAATTCAATTCAATTCAATTCAAGAATACATTTATTCCACACTCCTTTAGAGAAAACATCCATACATTCATTTTTCCAGGTCACATGGACCTTCGGGAATTGTGGACCCTATTGTTCAAGGTCTCCTATTGAATGCAAAACCGAACCCACATACTCCCTTTGTAGTTAAGTATTCCAAGGGAATCTTTTGGGAAAAGGAGAACCATACACTGACACAGAGAAAGACATCCTCACTCTAATAATGGATGTTTCCTCATTGGTACAGGTTGGCTATTATTGGCCCTCTCAGGTAAGAAACATACATTGTGGTGGATACATATTTGAAAATCTGTCTTAAAACATGCCAGTCAAATTGCTAGACACGTCCAAACCACCATATGTTAACGATTATAAAACACAGCGTTGTGCTAGAACATATTAGCAGTAGATACAATAGAATAAATTCTAGTGATTTGTCCAAAGCTTAAGAATATACGGTATATGGAGAATTACCTGTTCCCATCCAAGTATTTTGTTGCAAATGGAGACCTCTTAGAACAACAGAAATGTTACCATCATGTTAATAATAACAACCTTTGATTTAATTGTATAGTAAATGAATGATCTGAAATAATGTATTGAAAGAAACCAACTGATAACTGCTGTATTTATCTGTTATTATTTACAAGGAACACAAAAAATTGGCCCTGTTGCCTTTAAACTTTTTAGCAATGATAAATGATTTTTTGTCTTCGCAGCCAGATGTGTTTTATCATGCATGCAGCAGCAACTTTATGGACTTAGTGACTGGTCAGTTACAAAATAACGCGACCCTCAACCCAAACAAATGTCCGGCCATGGTGTCTTGTTTTTGGAGAGTACCTACTGCCATACCTATTTTTCATATTGGTGAATCTGTAATTAATCAGACAGATGGTGTCAAGTTGCTAGGTGTTCATATACAGAAGAATAGGAAATGGGATTTGCAGGTCAAGAATCTGTGTAAAACATTCAACAGAAAAATGTATATTTTACGGCAGTTGAGACGGTGTAATGTTCCTGCGGACAGTTTATTTACAATATGTGGGCCCTGCTTTGGAGTATGCTGCACCGGCCTGGCTCTGCAGCCTGACAAAGATGAAGAGAAAGAGTGATTAGAAAAACTATAAAGGAAAGCTTTCTGTATAGTCTTTTCTGATGCTCAATGTAATAACCTATCATACAAAGAGATCTGTGTGTCACTTAAGTTTCCTACTGTATCTGAAAAGTTAGAACAACCAGCGCTCAACTTTGGGAAGAGTCTCCTTGAGTCCAGGTGCTTGCCGCACCAACCGTTAAGCAATTAAGTCCTGCCCAATCCCGTTTTTAACATAATCATCACAGGTCATCATTGGCCTTGCATGTGCTGGGGTTTCTGGACAGTGGACACATTATGTCCCTTGCGAATTGTGGACTGGCCTTGTTTGTCTGCCCTCTTTTTGAAGGTGATTGGCCAGTGATTGGCTTACAACTCTGTAAATAATCAAACCTACAGATTTTATCTCTTTTTTTATCTCGCTTGTTTGTTTATACACAGCTCATGGTAAAGGCCTTGTAGATTCTCCAAACATTTTTGTGGTGATTTAATTAATCCATTTTCTATGTCTTTGATTATGTATACTGTTTTTTGTCCCGGTAGTTTTTTATGTTTGTGTTAATATTTTTTTCTGGCAAATTTTTGTGTATTTTATGCAAATGTAATTTTGATGCTAATGTATTTTAATTCTGATTTTTATTGTAAACTGACTGTAATTCAGCCCACGGCTGTGAAAGTCTTTAAATAAACCATTAAAAATAAAAACCTGTGATTTACTTGTTACAGTAATGAATGATCTCCAAGTAATGAAGTGAAAGACACCAACTGATAACTGCTCATTTACATGTTATTATTTATTCTCTTTAATATGCATTAACTTTTTGTTGGGCAATGTATTGGATTTTCACAAACGAAAATATGTGGAATATACATGTACATCAACACCATACTACCATAAATGTGTACAAGTTTTCATGAAGTTGTACAATAAGCATTACTTGGAATTCTCACACACATAAAAGAATAGAAACCAAAATGAGGCCAAAAAGTGACTAGTTTCTGGTCCCCACATGCCTCATTTCACATATATATCAGTGGGTTTTGTTTTTTCACTTGTCTGTCCATTTGAAGTTGATTAAAATTAGTGTTGCTCTTCCCTGTGACTTTTTGGGATAAGGCTACTTGAATGAGTATCTATACACTGTGAATAGGAAACGTCATTGAGCAATTTGTTTTAACATCACAATGAAAAATAATTAAATGTTGAAAGATAACAGCTGAAACAGCATCAGTTCAAGCTATCTAATCAAACACAAGACTAGAAACCTTTGTAAAACACACATTTAATGTCCATTCATTTCATATTTAAAGTTTTAACAAATAGGGACTGTTTTGGCGGGACAATTAAGAGAAATTGTAAAACCCAAGATGTGATATTGTCTTCAGAATGGAGGGAGCAGGGTGTTCCAAAGTTTTCTCTGACTTGTTACATGTTGGAAAAAATGTAAAGGATTCGGCATTGATATAATAACACTTAAACAATAAATAACCTTCAATTACTGGAAACCTTGGCTTATCATTTTTGTTATAGGGGAAAAAATAAAGAAATTACTGTTGGCAACTGCTTTTATCTCACACAACCCAATCTACTGCCATAAAATTGAGCAATTACATGTACATGTTATGGCTATAAGTGAAGGTATAGAGTTGGATAAAAACGGCTTCCGACACGACTTTCTTTGCCTTTTTGGGGGGGAACATCCCAACATGAAAATTCCATCATTCCAATTGTGATCCAGTTTTATGTAGCAATTGACCCATGGGGTCTACTCATATAAACAATTATTACTAAGGGAATAAATGTGTGCTCCGGAGGTTTTTATCACTCGTTTAATACCGCTTAGAGTCTGGGTGCTGATAATTACCCGAGCCGGAGGCGAGGGTAATTATCAGCACCCAGACTCTAAGCGGTATTAAACAGAGTGATAAATACCGACCGAGCACATATTTATTCCCATTCATAAATACCTTATCCGTAAAAAAATATCAAATAATTCGTTCAAAAAATCCTGATTATGTTCAACAAGTTCACTTCATGCTTTTTGAAACATCCCTCTAGCAAAATAATGGAGTGTTCAGCTGGCGAGTAAGATGTAAACAACCCTTTTATGGAGATTGACGCCCGCGTAACATGTTCTGCGCGATGTCATGCAGAACGCACCTGGGGCGTTGCGTTTTGAATTTAGAACTATAAAATTCTGACTCGATTGTAGTGTTGCGCATGCCTACGTGAGGATTGTGAATGTTCAACCAATGAAACGGTAAGAGGCACTGGATTTTTAGGAGTCCACATTTTATTGTGACACTGGAAAAGTGTTTAAGACCAGCTAGCCATGTCTTTATCATCCGTTTAAGACCGGCCACGTGACGGGCTCTCGACCAATAGGAATAGCTAAACTGTCTGAGGTATTTATGAATAGTACTTAGTCGCCTAGAACAGCTATGATATGCAGTTGGGGCCAAATTGAAGCTTTTGTACCGGCGCCTCTTCCATACCAAATTTGTATTATCATGTCAAGGTTTTCCTGATCACAGTTTTTGTTACCGTGACTGGTTTGTTTTAGTGTGGAACACCCTGTATATATGAGAAAGGGGATGTGATTAATAGCATGTATGAAAAACTGCATATATTTCTACTCCCCTACTGTTTGTAAATACTATGCAGTACATGTATGTTACGCACTGGAAGGTGCTTCATTGTAGCACCGCTTGTATGTAGTTTATCTTACAATGCTCAAAGATGGGACTTGTACAGGTCACTAAGACGTAGACTGAACCCTGAGATTGCATGTATCATTTCATCCACAGTTGACCAGCTCACAGGCTGTACCTCCCACACAGACAATCTCCCAATAAATGGTTCAATTTGAACTTGTGTTACAGCCAGTCTTTAAAGCCCATCAACAGAACCACATGAAAATCATGTTTTTTTTCTGAACAGTTTATAGAAACATGCCATTTTCAACATAAACTTGCAATATCTTCTAAATATAAAGCTACATTTGGGATCATTTTCAGCAATACATGATGTAATTGAGACAGCATCAGATTCAGCCTCTACTCATGGGTGTCAAGATGTCTCAGACTCAGTACAATGCTGAGATATTTTAGGAGTATTTCCCATAGACCCAAGTGGTCAAGTAAAGGCATTGTGTTCCTTTAATCTGTTAATAAATGTACGTTAATTGTCATGAGTTGATATCTCTGATATTTCAAAGAGACTTTATATTCAATCACACAAAAGTTGTGCAACTAGTGCTGAGTGGTTTTGAACTATTTTAAATACATGTGTAAAAACCAACAAAACCTAGAATAACAGTGAATTTAGTTTGCTACACCACACAAAATACAGTACAGTCACTTTACTCTTCTGGACATGACAGATTTCACACAACCACAAGTGAATTGAATACATGTTTCAATGGAATTACCATTTACTTTCTAAAATGAATCAGATGTTCTTTTTGCACGCATTTGTTGGAGTTTTTCATTTTTGGCTTTTGATTAGTACACTTGTAACTCTGCATCATAAACATTGATTAGGTAAGTGGCCACACATACATGTAATATAGATACAACCCGTATTTAGGAAGTGTAGAATGTGGAGATAATCAGGGGTTACCCCCATGTATAGACCTTACTGTGTAGCAGCCATCTTCAAGGGTAATATATTTGTTTTGCTTGGATACGTATTAGTGAACTTTTTGTGCATTCATTGTTACTGAATTCAATAACAAAAGATGCCCTCTGAGATGGCCGCTACACATTTAACGTCTATTGAAACACTTTAACTCTGGTTATGAGCTCAACATGTAAGAATTTAACTTGCATGGCTTAAATTTGCACCCATAATCATGTGAAGACTTTACAGTTTGCAATTGAGACAATTTGTGATTGACAATCACATCTTTGATTAATCTTAGGAGACTTAAGACTGCTTCAAGGTGGTAAGATTGTAACTATCTGTAAATAGTCATCCAGCAACTGGAACAATTACAAACATCTACATTGGCAGCTCTTTGGGAAAAAGGGGACATGGATAACATTGTAATGTCACATTCCAGCCTCATTAGTTCTTTCTCAATGATTACGTTACAGAGATGAAGGCTCAATGTTAATGTAGAACTTTTAAATATGAATGAAGGTATTTTGGCTCCATGCGCCAACAAAAGAGGGAGTGTTTTTACCACTTTTGAGACCCCCTTGGACGGAACATCGCGTGTGCGCACTATACTGGTTCGCGGGCGAAGTACGCACAACTTATTTATCCTAAAGGTGCACAAAGCTAAGCCAAAGTGTCTTCACGTGTCATCGGTGCACAAATATGTTCAAATTTAACTTGCGATGGTCTCCCACACTAAACCCTGCCCCCAATAACTTTGGATAATTCAAAATATGCAGTGGATGGGCCCATAAGCACCACAAAAGTATCCCAAGTAGAACCTTAATAATAAAACAAGATACCTTAAAAGGCATGTTATACGTAACAGCATTGATGCCCTATTAGTTTATACTTGAACTAATGCTACAACAAGGTTTTATCCTTTCACGTTAAAAATCCAACTACATCTATATGACTTTTCTAACAAAATAATGATAATAATACAATTACACTGAGGTGTCAATTGACAATAAATATAATCCAGATAACAAGAACAGGAATGGAAATGCTTCTTGTAGTGCAGGTCCTGCCAATGTACATGTCTGTAGTATCCTTGCCAAGTCAGATATTACACAAGCAATCTGTCATTCTTTCAATACCTGCATCAGCAAAATATGTAGTACTTTTCCACAATATATTTCACAACTACATGTACATATACATAAATGCCACAAGATTTAATATGTACAAATTCTGTTAATAATGTAATTACAGTCGTGGCTATAACTCAATGCTCTCAGCATTTAAGTTTTGGAACCAAAAAGGTGAACTTAATATTTTGTACACCGTAGACATACATGTAGTTCATAGTATAAATGCACTGTAAATAGAGTATCAGGAAATGTATGAAATTCAGAAATGTGATGTACAAACATCAAGCAAACTATACCTGCAGCTAAGGGTTAGTTCATTCAAACTATTCTTGAAGATGGTGTCTTCATATAACAGTGACCTCTGGAAAACCAGCAATTCTTGAGGGCAATTTGAGTTTCTCCCAGAGGAAAGATCCAAGAGTTATACTGTCTCTTACACTACCAGGCTCTCAGAATAGGAGAGAATTTAACCCCTTACCAAAAGCCTCAATGTGTAAGGAACAAATCTGTCTCACAACACAAGCCAACATTTTGTTACAAAGTCAGTCATTTACAAATAGCAAGCAACCAGAGATTGTCATGCCCGATGCCCTTGAACATCTTGCTCTTCTTCTGCTGCTTGAAAACCACAATGACTACTCAGCAACATGTACAATGGAAAACATCAGGCTACTAAACATGTAGGATGGTCACTCCATGGATAATGGATATAGCCACTCACAGTGTAACTCTGCTAAGATGTTCCATCAATTTGACTTATTAGCATTTGTATTACATTCTTGACAATGTATTGACTCCTTGATGAACATACAGTACTGGGGTGGTTTGGGACGATATAAGGAGTAACAGGCAGGGCAGTTCAGGGCGGTACAGGGTCTAATGTGTTAAAGTCGTCAAAAGTCCATGTACTAGGACACATAACCACACTCTTCCTTCACTCTTTCATCACTCTTTCATAACACCTCAGACAGATGAGCATGCATGAAGCAAGGGTGTTGGCAGTCCCACAGCATTAACCATGTAGAATTCAACCAACTGAACCAGGTCAGTGAACTTTGTGCTGCCTTCATCCAAGGTGTAAAAAACTTGTCCACTGCTCTCAACCTAAAAAAAAAAAATCCAGTGGAACAAAAAGAACTGTTATAGTTTGCAAATGGCATAAACGAAGTTATGTCCATTAAACCATCAACGAAACCTGAGCCAGTGTTTCACAGCTCAGCAAAAAGTAAAGGGAAAAAGCAACTTTCAATTTTTGCAAATTCTGACTGTGCAGGCTAACAGTTTGTCAGATAATGGAAGTTACATGATGGGACAGGCTTTAAATGCATTGACGAACCAAAAACGCAATGCTGCCATATGTGCACTGCAGAAAATGTGTAGTAGATTTTAAAGAGAAAGTGTTCCCCCAACATATGTGACCTGTCACCACAAAATGAGCATTAAGTCAGAAAGTACCATTTTGCAGTATACATGTAGTGGGTTACAAACAAAATCTGAAGGGCTGATCGAAGTTTGTTTTCAGTCGAACCTCAATCTGTATACATCATGTGTTACCTTTCCCGATTGCTTTGTTCTTATCCAATATTTTAAAAACCTACTTTCATCCCGCTTAAGTACCGGTAGTTGGCTGTTCATTCACTCAGGGATGTGATTGGTCTGTGACAAAAAAACCTGAAATTTTATGCATGAAGTGCAAACTCCGGCGAACATTTTTGATTTTAGATGACTGTGGTGCAATCTGAGGCAATTACTGGGCACTTTCCTCTGAAATTCTGAAGCAGAATTTGTTTTAATTTTATGAAGAATTTTCCTTCATTTGTTAAAATGTACTCTTGTTCTAATAAAGTTTTTTCTGTACTCAAAGTTGAGAACCATGCTGTTCAGCCTATTCTCCCCAGAATGTTTTCAAACCTGTGCGGGAATTTTTGTTGTGATACAACAACCTGCGGAGACACGGCGTGGGTTCGGGGCCCGCTTAAGGGCCCCGAAAAATTTTGAACTATTAAAAGCTTTCTGTTGCATTTTAGAGCATTTCAGAGGAGATCTTGTAATATTTTTGTAAAAAAAAAATCAAAATTGTAAACTTAAATCACTTCTGCTTCCGATAACATGCCTTTCAAAATAGCGTCGGTAGTATTGTTGGAAAAAAATTATTTCACCATTTCTATATTTGTAGTAAAGCAAGGACATGAAGGAATCGTTTATATTTCATGTATTTTGTGCCTGGATTATTCTCATTTGCGCCACAAAAATTATCAAGACTAGCCATCAAAAGTGATTAAAACTTGCCTCACCTAATTAAAAATATATTTGTGGTGAGTCATTCGACAATTATGCTTAACGTACATCACGGCCGCTAGCGCCGCAAACATTCAGTCTGGCCGGCCGTACATTGCGCCGTACACATGGCCGGCCCGGCGCAGTATCAGTGTGCATTGCTGCACTGTGTACGGCCGGCCCATCCCAAGTGGCCGAAAATTCTGCAGGACTGCAGAAACACGCTACGATGTTTCTCCACAGGTTCGAGTTTTGCAATCTCGTCATTTCAATGGAAAATACATACACAGAAAATGAAGATCACGTTCTGTGAATTAATTTGCAGAAATCCTCTTTTTCCATCGATGGTTGTTTGGTATTTTTACTATTTTTACGATCCAACTTCGGCCGATTATACGCACGGAAAACGAACCTGTGAGTACTTGCAGTAGTCACTGGTTCCGGTCCTTCATCATAGCATTGATTATGTTAGCATGCGAAGGGTTCCAGCGTACCATGCTGCACTCGTCTGCACACCTGACCAGTGCAACATGTGCATCTTAAGTACCGACACAGGAACTAGACCTACATAACCACAACCTAGACCCCGAGCGAAAAATCACATAATCGCACTAATGGCAACGCATGGTCTTCAACTTCGTTCTCACATTGGGTGTTCAATATGTGCGTGCGGCATACATATCGATCAACGAAGTTTATGTCCGTAAGTAAATTTCGGATATTTCGGCAAGCAAAACTCATTATGAATAATTAATTAGCACATTCTACCCCCCTATTTTCTCAACGGATTCACACGATTCATGTTGGTGGACTTTTGAGGCCCAAAAAAACGGATTTCCGGAAAAAAACGGAGAAATCACATCCCTGTTCACTGTAATACAACAGCACAAATTTTAAATGCCATTTTCTCAAAATTACTTTTACAACTTCAATGTAGTTGGGGTCTATTTTTCGTTGCGGAAGTCAGCACCCCTTATGCAATGTACCATTATAGAAAGCTCTTGTTCTGCAGAGTTCAGAAAAAAAATATCTCAATTCTTTTATGCTCTTTTTGTGGCGATAAGTCACGAAGTTTGCAACTTTTTAGTCACTGTCTCACTACAGAAATAGAAAACAGCCAGAGCAGATGAGTTGTTGCTTAATCAGGTAGGGACAATGGACAAAACTTAAACAGAACAGAGATAACCAAACCATTCATTAATGTACCGGTAATAACAGGATTCTTGAAATAAAATCTTCTCCTTTCATGGAATTCCAACCACTAGCTTTAACAGTTGATAATATTAAATATACAGTACCCTGATACAATACTCTAATAATAATACCGGAGTCTTATAGCGCACTTATCTACCATCAATTAGGTATTCAAGGCGCTGGTAACTATGTCTATTTTAAAGACAGGTAAATGAAGTTGATGAGAAATATGAGACCCTCTATGTAGCACCTATATAAGGGTTTACAAGGTGCTGCGGCGCATATTACAGCCACTGCCAGAAACACCGGGGCAAACCCCTTTCTCCTAGCGATAAGTGATACTGAGTTTTTTAACGTGCATTACACACACTATCAAAGTTCAATAAAATATATTAAATAATTGTGGGTCTAGTAAGGTTCTGTTTTCTGTTTTGAATTGTGCCCTCATGATACAATCCCTCCAATCAGCAAATTGGACCAGTCTGTATCGTTGGTAGCCACGCTATTTTCACCATGTTTCCACACATGAGTGCAAGCAGCGAACTAGCAGACGATCAGCGTTTCGAGCACGCGACATGCATGTGAGTTGACGTTTGATTGTTATGATTGTTGTGTTTACTGCCGTTTGTTTTCGTGACTTTTACATCAAAATCCAAAGAATCCAAGACAGAGGTATAACAAAACAATTGTTGACTGCTGTGATGTGGGACATGACATTTTGAACACCTTCGGGGCGCATAGCACCCTCAGCTTCGCCTTGGGTGCTGTGCGCCCTTTAGGTGTTCAAAATGTTATATCCCACTTCACAGCAGTCAACAATTGTTAAATGTAACAATGGAGAGTAAGAATGCTTACAGCATTGATTTGGTAGTGTTTAACTTTCTGGTTGAAGCTGAATGACAAGACGTAGGCTCCAGCTATTCTTTGAGATTCCCGCACCAAGAACATACCATCCACCATGCCTTTCTTGGCAAAGAGTTCATGAGTTTGCTCACGTGTTAGCCCACTGTGGAACCAGGGCTGTGTCATGTGGATGCCTACAGAAATGGAAGGACAAATAGATGGCAATGAAAACGCTTGAGAAATATATTATCATCAAATGAATATGGCTGTAACTATTCAACACTTTCTTTGTAAAACTGCCCAAATGTTCTAATCTGAAATGAGGTTCATACAGATTACCAATCTAATTTGTTTTTGCAGGTGTCTAGTCAGCACAACTAATAACCTTTCCTGAATGCTATCAATCTATGGCCAGTACAATGAATCTACAAGAATCATACAAACAAACTCTCGACTCTTGCAACTCTGCCAGACAGTATAACAGAATGAATTGTATAGAAGTCATCTAATCATCACTTGGTGAATATAAGGATTACTTTGTCTAATTATTGAGATCTGCATAGTGAACCCCTCCCACATCAGTTACATCATACCATATTTGGTAGAATTGACAGACTTGTACAAGTTTACTTAACTTTCAGTTCATTAGAACATTATTTGGGCTATTCCATTGTTACGGACAGGGGAGTAAATCCTGGGGGGGATGGGGGTATATATCCCCCCTTTTTAACAGGGGGGATGGGCTAGTGCATCATCCCCCCAAAAAAAATTTTCGTGATGAGAAACAAAATGCGGATTTTAAGGTAGTTTTCTAACATCCCAACAACAAAAACATATTCAATAGCACTGAAAAGTGGAGAAACAAAGTACAAAAGCTTTTAAAATAAGCTGTTTTGACGTAAGCGCGAGTATACATATTGATAGCGTACAAAATGAAGGGGAACTGCACTGAAGAAAAGTATAAGTGATGAAAACAAAAGTTAAAGCAGTGCTCACCGGGAATTATTCTGGCTGAATTTTCGGCCCCGCTGGGCCTTCATCATAGCTCCGATGAAGGCCCAGCGGGGCCGAAAATTCAGTCAGAATAATTCCCGGTGAGCACTGCTTTAACTTTTGTTTTCATCACTTAAATATATTGATTTACATTTTTCCTGAAGAGCACCCCCTAGTGTAATGTGGTGTCTGGCCCCCCCCCCCCCCCCCCCCATTTCGAATTTCCACAGTTGGGCAATTCTTGAATTCTTCACCCATTCGCCGGCACAGATTCAGAGCCTACTGACCAATTTGAAACAACAAAATAAAATACTTACAGAAAAGCAAATTTATAATATTCAATACATCTCAAGCTTAGGTCTTAATGTATAACATGATATGGTTAATGCAGTGTTAATAGCTGAATGAATGAATGAATGAGATATAAGCACTGTAAATGACCGTTACAGACGTTGTGCATTCTGTCATAGGTTTTGGCGTTCAGTACACATTGGTAAGACTCTGTTAAAGGTTTTGTAAGAATTTAATGAAATAACAAATATAGCTTAACATATCAAAACATCTACAACATTTTGCAAAATAGGTTCTTCGATGTTTTTGAAACTATCATGTTTTGGTTGTTAGGAATGTTACATTATAACGTTATGAATGTTATTTCAGTAAGTCAATATTACTTGTGGGCATAGTATCTGTTGTTCTAAATTGACAAGGAGGTGAAACATATGCTTGATCTGACAAACTTGTAGCAAATGGTTGTCTGTGGCCAGAAGAGCTACATCTCACTTTGACCCTGGAAAATTGATGGCCCTATATGCTACTAACCTGATCCTCCCAGTCTGCGGCCAGCAGGGCTACTAACCTGATCCTCCCAGTCTGCGGCCAGCAGGGCTACTAACCTGATCCTCCCAGTCTGCGGCCAGCAGGGCTACTAACCTGATCCTCCCAGTCAGTGGCCAGCAGGGCTACTAACCTGATCTGAGTCCTCTCAATCTGCGGCCAGCAGGGCTGCTAACCTGATCTGAATCCTCCCAGTCTGTGGCCAGCAGGGCTACTGACCTGATCTGAATCCTCCCAGTCTGTGGCCAGCAGGGCTACTAACCTGATCTGAATCCTCCCAGTCTGTGGCCAGCAGGGCTGCTAACCTGATCTGAATCCTCCCAGTCTGTGGCCAGCAGGGCTACTAACCTGATCTGAATCCTCCCAGTCTGTGGCCAGCAGGGCTACTAACCTGATCTGAATCCTCCCAGTCTGTGGCCAGCAGGGCTGCTAACCTGATCTGAATCCTCCCAGTCTGTGGCCAGCAGGGCTACTAACCTGATGTGAATCCTCCCAGTCTGTGGCCAGCAGGGCTACTAACCTGATCTGAATCCTCCCAGTCTGTGGCCAGCAGGGCTACTAACCTGATCTGAATCCTCCCAGTCTGTGGCCAGCAGGGCTGCTAACCTGATCTGAATCCTCCCAGTCTGCGGCCAGCAGGGCTGCTAACCTGATCTGAATCCTCCCAGTCTGTGGCCAGCAGGGCTACTAACCTGATCTGAATCCTCCCAGTCTGTGGCCAGCACTGAATCCTCCCAGTCTGCGGCCAGCAGGGCTACTAACCTGATCTGAATCCTCCCAGTCTGTGGCCAGCAGGGCTACTAACCTGATCTGAATCCTCCCAGTCTGTGGCCAGCAGGGCTACTAACCTGATCTTAATCCTCCCAGTCTGCGGCCAGCAGGGCTACTTACCTGATCTGAATCCTCCCAGTCTGTGGCCAGCAGGGCTACTAACCTGATCTGAATCCTCCCAGTCTGTGGCCAGCAGGGCTACTAACCTGATCTGAATCCTCCCAGTCTGTGGCCAGCAGGGCTACTAACCTGATCTGAATCCTCCCAGTCTGTGGCCAGCAGGGCTACTAACCTGATCTGAATCCTCCCAGTATGTGGCCAGCAGGGCTACTAACCTGATCTGAATCCTCCCAGTCTGTGGCCAGCAGGGCTACTAACCTGATCTGAATCCTCCCAGTCTGCGGCCAGCAGGGCTACTAACCTGATCTGAATCCTCCCAGTCTGTGGCCAGCAGGGCTGCTATTTCCATGATGGCCGCCTCCTCTGGGACTCCCTCCATTATGCCTTGGACTACTAGGTTGTGGACTGTGACTGCCAGTATTGTGAAGTTCCTTGTGTAATGGATTGAAGACAAAACGAGGACTGCTGGCATTAGTCTGTCGAGGACTTGTCAGGGAGGGTCCCTCAAACGAACGCTGCCCTCCTCGTTTCTTTAATAAGTAAAAAACAAAGAAGAGAAGACAAACATTTACCTGTGAATGAGGAGCAAAATGAAAATTGTACCAAAACTGTATCCAATACTGTACCAAAAACAAACTTAATTTTGAAGTAGAAAAAGTTATAAAGTGTTGACACAAAGGAATGGCACAGAAATCCCCATTTCTACTAATTCTGATGCATGATCTGTTAAATATTAAAACAAATTAAATCAGAAACGGTTCTAAACACTCTTACCTTGCCATGCTTTCCAAATGAAATAAAACAGTATAAAATTCTTTCCAAGTAAAATCAGCACACTATGCAAATAAGCTTGTGACACTCATGTGATAATAAAAATGTCCAACAACTGTTGAATGTCTTGAACTGGATTGACACAGTTTTGGTTCTGAATGTGGATTGTTATCTTGACATGTTGAACATCACACTCAGTCCATCTTTATGAGAACGAACGCTGCTAATACTGACTGTGACTGCCTTACCCTCCAATTGAATCCTTCTTGTCTAGCTATGGCTATAGCTTCAGATGGGTTGTCAATCACACGACCTTGATTACCTGAGAAATCCATTGCTGCTCGCTCTGTGCAGTTCTTCATGTCCTGATCAGATGTATTAGGCAAACAAAGGACCCAAGAAACAAATTGTAAGCAGTTCTTCACATCCAACTTTGCATTTAGTGAACCTCACTTTATACATATTTGTTTACTGCCAGTACAACAGTTATGTCGTCTCGAGCAGAAGCTTCAGTGTCCAAGAACTGTCATTTTTGATAAGGCCTTTTCTCTTTTGAGTGAATTATTACTCACTGTTAACTGATATGGCAGCCAGTTTGCCAGCTGCATTTTCTGTTCATAATTTAATTTAAAAATGCTCAGTTGAAGACAATGTGCCTAAAGTAGAAACACATAAAAAGTCCTTCAGTTTCAGAAATGCAATAGAAATTTCTTATAGTAAAAGTGCCCCTTTGAAACAAAGAAGTCCCCTTATTTTCATTCAACTCATCATGATATTGCAATTTTCAAAACATTTTGCTCAATACCAACTGCCTTCCAAACCAACCCTTATTAAATCTAGAAATGATAACATGGATTAGGGAGTTTTAAACATCTACCTTACCTTCATAGCATTATCAGTATCAGTCACTTTGTTTTTGGCCGTCCTGTGCATAGCACTGTTGTAGTTTTCACGCAGTAATGATCCATACTTAACCAAACGCATAGTAGCCAGCCAACACTGTCGTGACCGCTCACTTTCTGCACAGAAGCACTTGAGGTCTTTCAGCTCTGATTTCCCTTTACCGTGCTGCAAAGCAAAGGTAAACAATTCGCTTGGCATGAAAACAGCCACTGAATCATCCAATTGTGGCAACAGACTGTGCACTGACAAAAATGTAGTTGTAGACATCAGTACATGTAATTGAGTTGACCACGGTAGCTCGGTCAAACTGTGTCACAAACACTGTGAGAAATGTACAAAACAACAAAAATGGGTTGGGCTTAAGAGCCGAATCCAAAAGACTCCTTAAAGAATTTGCAATGTTACTGCAACTGGGGCCAATTTCACGAAACTCGTCTTATCTTACGACTCATCTCAGGAGTTAAGACGAATCCTCGCTCTAAGATCGATCCTAGCTAAGATGCGTCCTAAAACCGATTTCATTACACGCATCTTAAGCAAGACGCATCAAAATTACCATGGTGAATGCTGTTTCATGTTTGTTTTTACTGCTTGAAGAAACAGTCATTCAAAAGAAATGCACAAAACCAATTTCCCGTGCGCATGCTAACACGAACTTTAAAAAGTCAACTAGGTGTTGGTGTATAATTAAATTTTGTAAATGACTTATTTTTAATTAAAAGAACCCATGCACATGTTAGGTTATCAGCTTTGGTCCAAAAATTGGGCCACTGGTGTCAAATGATCCGAGGAGCAATGCTCATAGCGATTTTTGGCAAGGTATGCACATCTAGAGTTGGAAAATGTGTGATAGCTGTGCAGTGTGAGTGGTGGCAGTTTTTTGGGGTGTTATCACTTATTTTTTTTTCAAAATGGTCGCCAATACGCTTGTTATCAGATTAATTATAATGGTAACATGCAAAGAGATAGCACCCAAAAAGCTACCACCGCTGCAATGCTATCACATATTTACCAACCACAGGGGTGCATACCTTGCCAAAAAAATCACAATGAGCATTATTCCTCTCATTTGATACCGACCAAACCCCCAGGCTGATGGCCTGTCAGAAATCTTTTAAATCTGTTTCTACAGCTTCGTCCCTCGAAACCATGACTCTAGGCTGACACTCATCCTAACACATTGCAATGATGTCCATAGATGACATACAAGATAATGCACTATTCATGAGACAAGACAAGTTCAGCCGCGTTGCTAAGGAAATTAGGACGGTTTGAATACATCTTAAGTTTGGTGAAATTGATCCTAGGACAAGTCGCGAGTTAAGACGAATTAGCCTTCCTAAGACGCGTCTTAGTGTTTCGTGAAATTGGCTCCTGGTCTCCTAAGCAGCTTCAACTCTAAGAACAAGAAACAGGAGTTTACCTTTGTGCAGAACATGAAATCAGTCGGTGCGTGATACTTCTTCTTTGCATTAGTAGCTTGGTAGATGTTGACATCATTGAATTGCACAAATAAATGAAGATGTCTCGGATCCTGTAGAGATCATAAAATCACCAGTATAACTAATTATGGCATATGCAAATGTGTATTTGAAAACTTTTTTCAATTGCCTGTGCATTTTGTGTACAAAAAGACCCCCCCCAAAAAAAAATAATTGGGGGCTTCAAATTTAACTTTACTTTAATGAGGAAAAATACTGCAAGTAGACTTGTGCGATCCCCCTGGCATGCTGCCAGTTAGGAAGGGCAATTTTCAGTGTACCTAACCAAAATGGAATGTGTCACAACTAGCAACAGGGATTAGCAAAGAAATGGGTGGGCAGCTGTGTTAGTTGGGCAGTGTTGCGTCACTTGTGTGTGCCTCTGAAGGTAGGCTAAGTGACAGTGAACACCCCCAGATCACTACACCGTCCACAGCTGTGAAGCTATAAAGGGGCCTTTTACTTCAAACAAAAACTTTCATGACACTAGAGAAACAAATGACATAAATCATGGGATACCTAGAGGTCATGACCTGTTGCCCGAGTCTAATCACTTTACCAGATACTATGAACACTAACCACAAACAGTAAACTCCGGCTAATCGACATCGTACAACTCGTCAAATCGCTCAAGTCGGCCGTCTAACTAAAGTCCCGATTGTCCATAATGCATTTCCATTGAATTTTTATTTCAAAGTCGGCTATTCGCTCAAGTCGGTCTCGGTCCCCTTTCCATAAAAAGCATTACAAAATCCTTTGTGTAAGTCGGCATTCAACAAATCACACATTGGCATCGACTTCCTGTGCTGCGGTTGGCAAAGTGTCGAGTGAAAAGTGGTTTCGCACGGTCCGTGATCGCTACATGCATCGGTGTCGAAAAAGGGTGTCCTACTGCATACATCGCATATGCATCGCAAGCATATCAATACCAGTACCCCCTCTAGGCTGTACGCATGCGCTCTGTCCATTTTGGGGGTCGCCTTATTGAATGACTACTGCTGCAGTCAATGCGTGCGTGGTATATACCGGACCACGCACGCATTTAATTTGTAACTGTGCACGTACATATGAATCGTGGTCTCCACTATCAATACCCCAAACATGATGATACAATTCGAGGATTAATTTGCTGGATTCAACTCAAGCATTAAGGAGATAATCCAGGGTAAATCGAAGCCAATTAGTGCAATGATTCATGTGTGCAAAAGACCATTCATGTAAGTCGACAAAATGACGACTTACAGCAGATGTCGGCATTCGCGTAAGTCGTCACAAATTTTGGGTCCCGAGAGTGCCTGTTTAGCCGGAGTTTACTGTATCAAGTTTGGTTGAGATTGATGACTGAACTTACAGTGAACCTAACCAAAATGGAACACACATCACGTTTGTTTAAGGTGTAAATAAAGGATTTTCTATTGTTCCTCTTCCCTTTTCCTTTGTTTATACTAAAACTTTTTTTGCAACAGCTCTCATTGGTTTTGTACAGGTTTTCCAACCGAGGAGTCCTCGATTTGGTTCCTGTCCTCGCTTCACCGATGATGTTGCACGTGTGCGTCCTCGATTTACACCATAAACAAACGCACCCATGTTTGTTTTACGTATGCTATGTGGACATTCCTTTGTTTTCGTGTAGTTAAAAAACTCGGTACAAAAAAAAAATCTACTTAAACTGTCAAAACTCTTTCAACCCCAAATTTGTTTTATTTCCTTGAATGTTTCTCTTCATTCTGCAACAGATAACCCTAACCCGAAAATGCCTCTCAACCCGTTTTCCAGAGAGGGTGAAACGTTATGTGGACACGGCTTAGTCCACATAACGTCAACACAACCTGCATCATGTGGACATCTTATGTTCACATGTCCACATAGTGACTGTAAGACAAACTCACCCATACACAAACATATTTACACACATGTAGGGGTCTTTTTGATTTTGCAAGTATGCATTAGTGAACGTGTTCTACATAACCCCCGAGGACAGACACACACACAGATCCTTTCAGTCCTCCGGAGTTGGGTCTTTTGTTCAACATGGTCCTCTGTGGTAGGTTTGTGCTTAGTCTATGGGAGAGTGTTATATTACAGGGACAAAGGAAAACACAAAGCATTGTCCCCAGGAGTATAGTAAAACAAGAGTGTATGTGTTGCACAAGTTAGCACACCCACTTTAAGGTCAACAATCAATTTGAGATACCACCTCACACTCACACAAAAATCAGGGGGGGACTAAACCCTGCCTAAAATGTGTAGTTCAAGATGGTTGAACTTAAAGTGCAACTGACCTTGGAGTTGCCTTTGCTAGAGTAATACAGCCCATTTTCCCTCAAGAGAAAGAACATCTTCTTCCAGGACTTCTTGTGCCCTTCCTTAGCATGTAAGTAGCCTTGAATCTCAGGAATCTTGTCGGCTGTGGATAATAAGTCCTGGATAGGTACATAAAAACAAAAGACATTAGGCAATTTTTTAAACCAAAATACTACAGACAAACATACACGTACATACATGTGGTACATTCATACTTATCTTCAAGTAAACTTGAATCCTCGATCCTGATTGGTGGATCCATGGCAACAAGCCGTGCTACCATGTAGCATGTCCTCGAACCATACCGCACTCCGCGTATCACACTTTTTTAAGATGCGATGTGCGCGCGTTCCATCTTAACTGTGCGTCAAGTTTGCTTGAAGATAAATTCGTTATCACGCTCGTGCTCGTGGAACACGGAAAATGTAGTGCGTCTGTGTCCCACATACCACTCAGCCTTCTGCCTCGTGGTATGTGGGACACAGACGCACTACATTATTCCGTGTTCCACTCGCGCTCGCGGGATAGCTAATGTACTACATACATACTGCATACCGGTGCAGACAGGCACAGTGATTGCATAGCCGCTTTCCTGAACAAAGTTCAGGTGACACAAAAATCACCTTTTGAAACCAAAATGCATTGATATTACACAAGAAGAAGATTATTGAAATGATTACCAATAACCACGGTGTCTTGGGCCGTTTGCTACTGAGTGTTGGACTGTCACCATCATCTTCATCAACAAGCATTTGCTCTGGAAAGAATTGCTATAAGCAACCACAAGAGAAAATATGCCATAAGCAACCACAAGAGAAAATACTAAAACTTCTGAACATCCATAAGAAGGTTGAGCAAAACATAAAACACGAACCACTCTTCAACCCTGTTCAAAGAGATAGGTTATTTAAGTTTCATTTTAAGCCAACTCATCAGGCAAATATTTTTAATTTTAATTTAATTAAAATAAATTTAATTTTTTTAAAGCTTATTTTTAGGTGAATACTATCGATAATGTGTACCAATAATTAGATAAGACTTTTTTGTACTTTGACAGCATTTCTCTTATTTGTACATGTATTTGGAAGAGATACCGGTATGCACCTTTAAAGTTCAGGTTTGTGTTCTTTCAATAAAGTGACCTAATATTAATAACCATCATCATTTTAAGGTTGATAATCATAAAGTTTCCTCTCTCCAAAAGAAAGTGGGTCACACTCCATGGTACATATCAGAAGACTCAAGTGTTGAACAAACACAGTGAGTGTGCTAGAGCTGTGCTAATGGGATCCAAGGTTCAGCAAGCCCTATGCCACGGCCAAAGCATAACGATATGATCATAGACAAAAAATACAGGTCAAAAGGTCAGATCCTTTTATGAGTGCAACTACATTTTACCAGAGGGAAGCGTTTTTTTGTAATGAACGATAACACAGTTGGTCCGATACATCATTTTTGTCTTTTCCACAACTTTTCTGAGAAGCCACTGTTTGTTTGTATAGTATGTTGTGTGTTTTCTTGTCTTTTTAAATCCTAAATCCTGCAGAAGTTATACATGTTTCTTTCTTGGAGAAACTGTGGACATTTAGAAAACTGATACCATGATCAAACTTGGCACAAAAAAACAGTACCCAACTCAAGTTGTACACTGGAAAAGAGGGAAAAAAAGAAGCTTTCTGTCTTGGTTTTGAAATCATCGGTGCTTGGTCATCCATTACTGCAGAGATGTAAATGAGGTATCCATGGAAAGCTTAACCATCCTTTAAGATGGAAGCACTGAACTGTGTACCAATTTTTATAAGTGATAACTTACTTCAAATCAAAATCCCCGACTGCCAGAACAATCTATGGGCATTGATCAGCAAGTGATTTTTTTCTTTCTGGTATTATCCGAAAGAAAACATTGTGGTCTAACATCAGTTTACATGTACTTTAAAATAAGTATGTTGTTAACATACATGTATACCAAGATATGACAACACAGTCCAAAAATGTCTGGTCCGTGTGTCTCATGTTCCTCTGTACAAGTACACGTGTATTTTGTGAGCGAGGTATTGCGTGCCAGGAGAAATACCTCTCCATTGATCTCCATTAGTAAGAAAACCACGGCAATGTCTGTGTCAACAAGCAATTCTATTGGTCGACCGAGAGTTACACGGCCGCACAGACTTTCGAGCCAAGGGACGCCATGCATCATGGAAACCGATTTTCGATTGAAACTTTTGTTTGAAATTGTGGAAGAAATCATGGAAGCAAAGTGTCCTGACGATCTTTTTTTAAACTAAATTCTTTTAGGTTGCTGAAAGCAAGTCTTTGTTGACATCGCCCCAACCGAAAATTTGTTGAGATTTGAAGGTCTGCATGGTGGAAAGATACTAAGACAAGATACGTTTGCGGTAGCTCCATGTGAATAAATCTATTTTGTGAGTATGTGTGGTTCTGAAACATGTTCCTTGCTCTATGGTAGAACTTCTTATAATAAAACATGTCTCAAAAAATCGTCCCAAAACACTTTGATTGGGTACCACTTAAACATGTATTGTTCCTCACATGTATTGGCTCCATTCCTCCATGGTCATACCGACCGATCGACCCACTTTTTTTCTATAAACCATGTGACCCGAACCAAAAGTATTTGTTTGTTTGGCCTTAGGTTTTGACCTTAAAATCTCATTATTTGATCTTGATGAACAAAGAAGCACATCCTGCAGTCAGGGTTGATGTTTGCACAAAGTTTCACATTCAACCAATTAACTCTTTGGGAGAATTTGGGATTATTTTAATTTATGCTTTTATTTCTATTTTAAAGTCACTTAAAAATCAAGTGAAATCATTCACATAAAAAGTCCCCAATGATTTGATCTTGCAGATTGCAAAACATGAACACAATACTACAATAATAGAAATGTAGTACAACTTACTTTGAGAGTACGCGTACATGTATACATGCTCTCACTCAAGCTCAATTTATGACGCATGTTTTGCTTAAAAAGATTTTTTTCGAGCATTATAGTTTGTTGTTAATGTTTAATATTTTCAATAAAACCCATAAACTTGATTCAATTTTATTACATGGCATTTTGATCATTGTATGCATGTAAACAAAGTACAAGTACCAAACTTTGGAAACACTAGAGCAAGCCCAGTGTTGTGTTTACATACAGACACATCAGACCTATAGTTTTGTTGGCTGTGACCGCACTCAGCAAAGCAGCCATTGTTTTCGAAAGATTTTTATTTATTTTTAACCATTTACAATACTTTTGTCCATAGGATTTGCATGTTTTATTTACACCCCAATAAAGGCACTCTGATGAATAGAAAGCACAAGCATGGACAACACACTGCAGATGATCACCCAACAATGCCATTTTGATGATGTCACCAGGTATCATGTGCCCAAAGGTCAAGGTAGTATATATGTATCAAGTACACTTTGTCAGTTCTCGATGGTAACAACTCGAAACTATTATAATTTTTTCAAAGCCCGAAATTAAACATACATGCACTCACCCCTGGACTCTGGAAGATTTCATATTTTCTGAAGTCTTTCCGGAAGTGGAGTTTGTTGTTTGAATTTTGTGGCCAACTTTTGTAGACTGCAGAGGCCAGCTCATGATCTTCTAACGTTCTCTCTGCATTAGCAAAGTGAATACAAATTGGCATATTAAACACTTGTGCAGCATTAACGAGGTAGAATTAGGCTCTCGCATGTTTGGTTAATGAACACCAACTCTGGTGGATATGTGCACTTTATAAACATGCATTAATTGTGAAGATAAAGTAATTCAATTCCCCAATCCATGACTGCTTTATTAAGGCCATGCCATTCCATTTTGTATCCATGTCTATAGTCAGAATTTCATACATTCGCACACCGGAACATGTATTGAGTGGATTAAGCCCATGCTTGAGCAAAATGTACACATCAGGATTACTTCTAAATAACAAATAAGACATATTTATTATATTATGAAACATCCTTGCATGTGACAGTAACCAAAACAATAGTGTAATACCCCTCTGTACTGATATGTCTATTCGCTACACGTTCATGTACATGTACATATCAATCACAATTTAGTTAGTGGTCATTTTATTCTCCAAACCCCGCGTGCACATGAAGCTATGGGTCTTGTGTGTAGTTTCATGTATCAGCACTGCCTGTCTGCTTTTACCTCCACTGAATGAAGCCAAAGATGTAACTCACCTAGATCCAGGTCCACAATCTCCTCTATCAATGACCAACTCTTATCATCGCTACTATGCATCTTACTGACCATCAATGCACATACATCTTGAACTGTTAGACTGGGATGAACCTCACACAGTTTGCTGGTACCATCTTCACAACATATTCTCAGTGGAAGCTGCAACACAATAAAGTTACCAGCCATTCTTACACTCACCATTCGCATGTGACGTCATCTTCTAACATTCACTACTGCTATTTCATTTTTTTTTTTGGGGGGGGGGATTCGTGTACAGGTGTAAGTTACATCACAATTTAATTACTAGTCGGGTTTTGTGAGGCCAATATCTTGGACATGAATCAGAGGCTTGTGATGAAAATTGCTACCCTGGGGTAATCTGGCACCAAACTTTCACAATATGCCATCCCAAAGGGCTTATCTCTTCTCATTTCAGAGTTACTGGCCTTCAAATATTAATCTTGTCAAAGGTGAAAATCAAACATTCAAATTGGAGGGGCTCCTGTCAGCCCAGGATCTGTCAAAGATGGTCAATGATGCTGCATTCCTCTTATTTGTGGACAAGTCTGTCTACATAGGAAGAATAACTACATGTAAACGCTCATGTGGGAGAACAGAGCCTCTAAAAAGGGTTCCAGCTAAAAAAAACATCAACTTCACACTGTGGGAAGTTGCCCATAGTAATGAAACTTTTTTCCACATAATTGTACATATCTTGCTAATATTTGTTCAATATTCACTTCCAAGATATTGGCCTCCAAAACCCCCAGAAATTTACATCAGCAATTCGCGGGTGCAGGAAGTGGGAATGGCACCCTGTCTTTGGAGAGCCATATCTCAGAAACCCTCAGGGGTTAGAGCCTAAAATACTGCATGTGTTCATAATACATAGAATGGTACTCCTACCGGTACATTCTTAAATTAATGTCCAAATCTGAGTTGGTCGCCATGGGACCTCTGGTTGGGTTCATACTGAATGACCCATTGACGACCCTTATATGATTGGGAAACACATGATTTAGTTTAATACAAAGTTCCAAAGTCAAACCCTAGGTGTGAAAGTATGCAGTTTAAAAACCACTTAAACTTCACAAGAAGTTGTGTATCATATGTACCTGTACCACAGGGGCTTTTTGTTGATGACCTTTAAGAATGAATGCATGGTAATAACATTTTAGTGAAGTTTAACCTAACTTAGTTTTACTGATGGAGTGCATGTACATGGAGCTCATAACACAAGGGACATTGTCTAGTGTCTGATTTCACTCTCATGTGGTTGAACAATTCAGGGTTTTCTTTTACTTTGTAAATCAAAACATTACCTGAGCTACCCCACTCTGCTCTCCATTTGTCAGACATATGTCCTCCTTGCTTTGCTGTGCAATGTACAAGCTCTCCTGTAGGTTGACCAAAGTACAACAAAATATCATAGTGAAATACAAAAAAAGCTGAACATTAAAGACTATGTACACATTTAGTGCAATGTCAATGTAAAAAACCCACAACTTTCAGTTTATGCAGAAGCAAGATGAGCAACAAACTGAATCTGCAAGGTTGTGTTGTTATTTCTCCATTTCAGTGGGCATGTACATGTACCAGCATGTCTATATCACTGCTTGTTAGTAGGCCTAATGGTCATGTACATATGCTTGACACTTTCTGATGGCTAACAGCCAACCTAGCATCTTTCTTAGCTTTTCACCATGTCAACACTTTATAGCACCATATTTGAGTGATATGTCCAGTTAAATTATCCTGATGAAAGTCATTGTCATGTGACATAGTTTGTGAGAATTTATAATCATACCCTGTCCAAACCTCGCAGCTCAATGTTAAATCTCCCAATTTCATCATGGCAACTTTTTAGAGAACAGACACTTGATTTAAATAAAACAAATAAACCCTACAAACAAGCAGAACACATGAACACATGAACAAACAAACCAACAAATGAAAGAGAAATTAACCAACCAACGAAATCAACAAATGAATGAATCAGCTAACCAACCAACCAATTTGCAAACAAACGACTAAATAAAAACAATCAAACAAACAAATAAAAGAATGAATAAATGAAAGAATGAAAGAATGAATGAATGAATGAACAAATAGGTGAAAGAAATGAATGTCAGAAGTTCAGAACGTACATGACAAATAAACAAACAAATAATTGAACAACTTAATGAATGAACACTGTAATTCATCCTCAACAAAAAATTAGTAAAACCTGCCTACATACATGTAACTGAAGCTCAAGTAGTGGTTTTAAGTCCCATTCTACTAGCCTTCAACTCAAGCCTGTTTGCACCACAGACCCTTCACATTCAGCAGCTGCGTTAATTGTAATTTAACTCAGTGACAATAAATACACAACATGTCTACTCATGCATACCCCTGTGAAACAGGGCTGCCATGCAAAGCTTGTATTTTACTTGCAGTCAAGTATCATTATGGAAATTTATGGTCCATTTTGATAATTAACCTGCCTGCAAATGGTTCAACATTTAAAGCTAGACATTAACATCAGGTCTACTTTAATGATGCTGAAGAAAAGCCCTTTTATACTGGTTTGATGAATTTTCTCATGTATTTTCATGTCAGACAAGAAGCAATGTAAATGATAGCTGGAACTACCTTAACCCTAACTCCCTAGGGTGGTTTACTAGGAACCTTCCTCGTCCTTGCAAATCACAGCACCATAAGGTAAACTGTGCACATAGGGGTCGTTCAGACACCGTTTTAAATTCCCTTAAAACACCGGTTAAACTCGATTCAGTGTAACTTTCTTGTTAAAACGATGTCTGAACGCTTTTTTATTTAGACCGAATCGAGTTCAACTCGAAGATAAAACAGCAACTTAAACCCCCTCGAAGGGAGGGTTTAGCGAATAACCAGAACGAGTTTTATCTCCTAGTACGATGTCTGAACGGTTTTAGCTAAAACGCTGCCCGTTTTAGCCAGCGCAGTGACCCAGAGTTACGTAACGCTTTCTCCGTGGCATGCTTTTGTATTAAGCAAACAATGTCCTAATTCTCCTACCGTTAAAAAAATCTAACTTCAAGTCCAATTTCCGCAAGTTTTCTGACCACAGGCATGGTCCCAGTTTCACATCGTGCTCACTCGATTGCACACACGTACGATGCGATGATAAAAAATGTGGATGCCAACGCAACTACCGTTAACCGGAGCGTAATTATCATAATACACTAATATATTCAACTACAAGGAAAACCTTGGCGTTGATTGGTCAATATTGCAACGTTAATATCACATGTATTTTTACGTGACTGACATATTGTGCGGGCAAGTTGTCAAGTTGATGCAGTAAACCTTGATGCAGAGAAATCTGTTCAATGACGTGTTGTTTCGAACACAAGTTATCAATCAACTTTTTAGAACATTTTTTTATGTCTTTGTGCACCACGAAAGGTACAGAAAATAGCCCCGAAATGTAAACACAAATGGTGTAAGGCCAATACGATACTTAAAAAAAATGGGGAAATCGCCCCGGTGGACAAGTGACTGTCGTCAACTCGTCATGTTTACCGCGTCCCACGCTACATGACCAGCCGAGGCTGCGATGTCAAACACGGCATGGCAACCCACATCACACGGTGAGGGGCTCAGACCACGTGTAGCGAACTGTAAAAATGGAAGAGTGAAGGCTCTTTTTAGCGCGCGTTTTTTGCCGAGGCGGATGTTCTACGTGACCTTAGAAACTGAGATAAACTACTTCGAGTTGAACTTGCTATACTTAAAACGATGTCTGGACGCTCGGTAGTTTTATTTTTACGATGGGCCTCCCGTGGTGAGCGACCGTTTTAACTTTTACCGTTTTAGCTAACACAGTGTCTGAACGTGGCCATACATGTATATAAACAGTTGGACTCAAAAAAAAACCCAGTGTATTCGTGGTATGCCTAATCCCAAGTAAGGCACAGTCAGTTTCTAGTGCAGTACCAATCCTAACAGATTCCAACAAACCCTGGTGTTGGAGTTTGGCTGGTTGGGGATTGCTAGGGTTAAACACAAGTAAATGATTGTTACACCAGTCAAGTCAATTTACTATTCAAGATCACTCTACCAAGACTAGTCAAGTAAGTTATTATAAATAGAATTGTGTGTGTCCATATGATAAAAAAACAATTATCTTCAAGTAAACTGAAATCCTCGATCCTGTTTGGTCGATCCATGGCAACAAACCGTGCTACATTATCCAGTGTACCATGCTCTATACAGAAATCTGCGTACCATGTTATTCCAAGATTAGATAGATGAGTGCGCCATTCCTGCTCCTTGCACGTATAATAGGTTAACTGCTGAATAGTTCAGTTCAGCATGTTCCATTTTTACTATAATTTAAGTTTGCAAACATAAATTCATTATCCCACGTGAGCTTGTGGAACAATGAAAATGTAGAGCATGTGTGTCCCACATACCACTTAACCTTTGGCCTCGTGGCATGTGGGACACAGACACACTACATTATTATCTGCTCATGGGATAACTAACACCTTGTCTTTCTCATTATTTCCCAGGAACTCAACAAGACTTGGACTTCTTTAATAACTAGTACTTTGGTAAAATTATAAGTAATCTCATATCTGATAAAACAATTTTATGCACAAAAGTCTTGACTGCAGTTGTCACAATAGTGCAGGTGTCTAGTACATTAATTGTTGACCAAAACTGTCTCCTTTTGTTCTAATGAAACCAAATAGCATGACCAATTCTCAGGGTTTATGGAACTGACATAAAAGGTTTGGACCGCCAAATCCAGCATGGCCTTGATCCTAAAGAATACTTGAGATGAAATTTGTACATGAAATTAAACCTTGATGTGTAGCATTTACTTTAATTGACACTGCCAAGAAAGGTTGTCATTTTCTGTCACTGCAGCAACAATGACCTTGTTTTAAGAAGAATCTTAAACATTTCTTGAAGCTGTTGAACTTATCACCACAATGTGCCAATCAGTGAAACTGAAGCCCGGTGCACACCTTTCCCATTTTACTGTTTCACCCAATCACCGGTATGTTTTGTCCACCATTGCAGTTAGACCGCACCGTTACCCCAGACATGCCTGATTCCGTTCCATAATCGGTCACATGATGACCAAACAAACGATGACAAAATGGCTGTAGTCGATTTTGAATCATTTAACTTCCTTCTTGAATCTGATTGGTTAACATAAATGTCGCGTCCGGTGTGCCGCCCGCATACCTTTTCTGGTGACACTGGACCAGGTGAAATCCAATACGAAACAAACAAACATGTTCATGGTCGCTCAGTGTATGGTCAGATCAGTGCCAACCTCTGTACGGTGGCTCAATGATCCGGTGAAACAGTGAAATCGGGAAGGTGTGTGCCGGGCACAGAGTGATCTCATGGACAAGCACCCGTTTATCCACCCATTCCCTTTTCAGATTATGGCACTGTGATGCACTAAAGGTCATATCAATATTTCTAGAAGTAAACACTTCTGTGCCCCTTGTAAATACATACATGTAAATGCATCCACTAGTTTGACTTCAATGAATAGTCAATATTTACCCATGAAGCAGGTATTAGAAAATGAACCTTTTGAGACCCCTCCAATAAACTACAGGAATCTAATACTAACCACAGCTGAGCCTACTCCTGTTGTCTTCAAACCTGGAAATGGATTGGGTACCTCACTCTCCCCAATCACCCCCTTCTTGCGCTCTCCCCTCTCTGGTAGTGAAGTACTCAGTTTGAGCTTGGCATGTTCTACCACTGGTGTGTCTGATGTGGACTTGCTTCGCCAAGCCCAGTCTAGCTTGGGCTTGGGAATGATGCGAGCCATATGGCTAGTGCGCTTGGTACTGCAGTCACAGCTGCTACTTTCCTGAAGGTGGGTCAAGTTCTCCATGCTCTCCAACAGGGGACGGTCTTCATTACAAGAAGGGAAAGTGTTCATGTCGTTTATTAAAGCATCGAGGTCAACATCATCTATAAAGAAAACATAAATAAGATCCCATTTTAAATAAAATATATTTTCATTTGGCAATTCAAGGCCTTCTGATTAACTTTATGCTACCGATAGTTATGGTATTTAAGTCCCTGCAACAACTCAGTCCTCATAGCAGTGGACCTCTGCTTGTTATTTCAAAATAGCAAACTTGAGTGGCACTTAAGCAAATTTGAAAGGAAAAAAAAACCCCCCTCCAATAAAAAGATAGATTTTGTACAACGATGGGGCGGTTCCACCCATTGGTCTTGGGAATTTGGAAAGTAAAATTTCAGTTTACATAAAACAATGGTTGTTATCTTGAATTAGTTTGATTTTTTGTTTTGTTATAATTATTGTGATAAAACTATAGAAAACTATAAAGTAGATGTGGGATGCATCCATAAGAACAATTTACTGCCAACTTTACTGACCACATGGGCATAATCAATTAGTGTACTGTATTTTCCAACTTTGTACTTTACCTGTGTGTACTCAATCCTCTTACTACATGTACATGCTTATATATCTGGAATATATCTTGAATATTTTTGAGTTAATTCTTTGTTGACCTAAACGCTCCTTTTTACCCACTGTTGACCATAAGTGCTACAAATTTAACAGGGGGGGGGCTCTTTTTGCTTATCAATTTATTCACATTTCATAAAGTCATACGGTTAACGAAAATGAAAAAAAATCATTCCAATAAATATTTTAGAAAGACACTTCCTTGAAAAGCGGCAGATTTCGGATTTTAGGTAGGGGCACATGGGGCACTGGAAATGTGTGGGGGGCCATGCCCCTCCCCTCCCTCCCCCTTGGCTATGCCACTGGGAGGAAGGGGGTGTGCCCAGTGTGGCGCTTCCATGTACATGAATCAATGTGGTCACTTGACATGCAATGACAGCTAATTAAAAACAAATCCACATATCTTCAACCAACATTATACTTTACACACACAAAATCTGACTTAAAATTCACAGATAAAATTTAACATAAAAAAAGGGGGGAATGTTGCAGCTTTTTTCATTATTTTTATAATTACTTTTTTATTCTTTTTTTTTTTTTTTTATAGGGAACGGGATTTGTGAGTGAGCAGGATAAGTAATTTAAGTATGTACTTTATTGTTTTAAACGATGTACATAATATGTTGGTTTTTTTCATGTCAAGTTAAATGGAATACTTACATACACCCCCATTCCATTTGAATGTATTCTTATTGTCAGTAATTATGGTTAAATACATGTGCATGCACTTGACAAACAATAGTAATTTATTAGTTTTAAAAATATCAACACAAATAGCCTGTGATTTAAAAAATTATAGGAAAAACAAAAGAAACATAGGGATGAATTTTACAAAAAGGAGGAGTGCTATAACAACTGGCACATTAACCTCAAATGGGAACTTTTGTGAATGCTAAGGCCAAAAAAACCCTACCTACAGTACCCTATTTTGACAGCCCCTACCCTGATTTCTTTTTGGGAAAAATGAGGGGGGGGAAAAACAAAAAAAATCCATTACTACCTTTTACCCTTGACTAAACGCTGACAATTACATATGATCAACACCAAACAAAATGCAAAAACAAAATCCCTACCTACCGGTACCTACCCTATTTTCAAATGCCATGTAATCGGAAGCAGAAATACTTTTTTTGGCCTAGTAAATCTGATGTTGATTTTCACAACAGAATAGCACTGGTGTTTTCAGGCAACATGACTTACAAATATGTCAATCTGATGTGACTCAGGTTGCCATATCAACTGAGATAGTCTACAGCAGAGTTAAAACATACTTAAGTCATAAATGACTTTTGGTGCTTTGCTGGAAGTGTAGTATTTTACATGATGTTATGAATCTCAAGTTAGCTCACTACACACTTCAAAAATACATGTTGGTATATTATCGAGTAAACTACAGAAATAGGATAAGGGCCTGATGTTGGGGTATGTACAAAATCTTACTATTAAAAGCAAGCATCTTCACAGTGGCGTACCCAGAGGAAGTGAGGGGGGCAGGGGTAACTTGTAACCCCCACCCCCATCCCCTTGATTGGAAGGCTTCCAAAACAGGACATCACCATTACAACAACCATTTCAAGTTTCGATTTGCTGCCAACCCAATCCAAAAAAATTGTCTGGCACCAATTTCTGAACCTTGCTGAATCTTGGACTTGCAGCATTATATGTACATATACCTTTTACAACGTCCCATCCAAGCTTATCATGGCAATGTGTATCTGAACCACAGTTTTCAATACACTGAGGGAAAAACGCATTTTCGTTTTGCAGTGTTGGCTGAAAACCTGGAAACGCCACTGTGTCTACATACACATGCACAATAAATCAGTATGCAGGTAGCAAGCTGGCCATTCCAAACCAAAATAACACAAAATAATCCTTACATGACAGCCTGCAGCCTTTAATAATGGCCACACGCTCACCTGCAGGTGAACACGATGCATGCTGGTGACTGTTGCTGACCCGATCACCTGCTGACCCCATGGCCATATGACCCATCACTCCAGTATGGTGATGAGAGTAACTTGACAGACCATTGTGCAGATGACTGCCTCCATGGCTCACCTCCATGGTTACATGTGACATTTGACCTTCAGGTTGCTGACCTCTGTTTGTTTGCTAATTGGCTTCAATGTCCTGCACCTGATGCCAGTTACTAGGCTGATGATATGGTTGATTTATATCTGTTGCTGAGGACTGCCACCTACATAATTCTGTTAGAAAAAAAAGAGAGAATGGTCACAGATTTAGGTTTTGCTTTTAATTCCAGTCATCAATCCAAATAGTTTGTAAAAAAAAACCTGTCAGAAAAAAACACATTGCTGGTTTGAGAAGTACTGAAGAGAATGCATCACATATTTCCAAATATGGAAACGTTGGTGTTGACACAGTGGTACTGGTGCAAGTCAACGATGCAACAAACTGCATTGTATCATTATGCAAATACTTTGATTGAAAAAAATGTAAAATTGCCAAATTTGCACTTCTATGACATTAAGGGTCGAGGTAAAAATGCACCCCAGAAAATCCCACGAGATCAAGAACTGTAAATGACAATTGAATATGTTTTACAAAAATATGGAACATTTAAGATGAAAACCAAATAATCTTCAACAAAAATCAAATTCTACAAAGAGTGCTGCTACACATTTGCATAATTTTTTAAACTGATGTCTTTCATATGTTTCAATACCAATTTTACAACATTTTGGCTGTAAAATGTAATATTTTCATGGATCATGCATGGTGAACCACAGTGTTGAAGATGGTAATGATGTTTGAGCCTAACCTTTGTAGATGAACAGATGTTTGTATGTATGTTTGATTATAATGTATCACTTCATAGCCAAGAGCTGAGGGGAATGATTGGAATACCCTCTAGGGAAAGTTAACAAAATTGCTCTTTTAGGGTTAAAAGGAAACTAGAGTTCATCATTTAAGGTTATAAATAATACAATTATAGATATTCACTGAAGGTATTAGCACAGCATGGTATCTTTTCTCAAGCTATCTTGGGAATTCATTCCCTAATCTAATTTACAGGACCACTATTCCACCAGGGGACAGAGGTAATTTGTTGCATGTAAAGAGAGCCAACTGAGGCTTACCCCCTGCAGTGACCACTGGAGATTGGCCTGGGGTCTTGACCTGTCCTAAGGTTGACCTTGTGGGCTAAGGTCGGTCAGGTCAGTATTACTAATGTATTTACACTGTGACTCTAATGCCTTTTGAAGCACCTTAGTATGTGTGTGTAGACTAAGGAAATGTACACATTCCCTTTACTTGTGCATTTAATTGCTCTGCATGATGAATTATTCCCAGTTTACTGGATCATTATTTAAAAAGAATGTTTTGAGCTTTTGACTTTGTTCCTTCAAAAATCAAAGAAATACTGTTCAGGGGATAACAGTTCAGAATTTACATGTACTGTAAATAGAGGAATGGTAAGACAGTTTATGTACATGTACATGTACTGTAACTGTACATTTACAGCAAAATGAACATGTACGGTATAAATATAGCTGATAGTAAATTGTACCAAATCCCACTAAAGTTGCAATACAGAAAAACACTATGAAACTTCATGTATTTTGAGGTCGTGAAGTAAAGTTTAACTTTAAAATCAACATGCGTCCAGTGCAAGTGGATCATTATCCGACGGAACCAAGGTCCACAAAACATACCATTTATGTACATGAGTTTGTACAGCACAGGACCCATGTAAAGCTGCGTTGGATTCGTGCAAGTGTGAATGGGGTTCCCAAAATCTTGGGGCTCCACCTGGTCCAACACGGAGAGTTGGACAGGTGCCTTTACATCATGTCTCAGTGTTCACTGGCCATGTAGGTTTTTTTTTTTTTTATATATATGAACATGTGTACATGTATGTCTCTACCCCTAATTGATGTTAAATTTGAGGCACTTACATGTACATGTATTACTTCCCACATTATTCCCACTTCTGGTAAGGTTTTATTGGGGAACTGACGATAACAAGTACCAAGTGGTACAACCCATGGTGACCGGGTAGCAGCGAGGCCGGGTAACGTGTGAAGACGGCTATACGGCACCGTCCGTGCACCCGGGCCGTACCGGTACCTCGAGAGTACAGAAAATGAAAAGGAATGGGGCGTGATCTAATATGCAAAAAGTATGCATATAAGACGCATGCGCAACAGTGTTTGCAAAACCGGTCTTCGAATGCAAAGCTGTAATACTTGCAAAGCCGTAATACTTGAGTTGTATGAATACAATATATGGCCGAGTACAGTGTCCACCAACCAACCAACCCACCCACTCACCAATCCACCAACATACATGTTACAAGCAGCTCAAGCCCACGGCTTGTTTCACACCGCTGTCGGAAAAATACAAGCCTACATGTGCCATAAGCAAAGCTGCCCTGCTCATGCACCATGGAGATATTCTTACACATAAGAGTGTTACACATATATGCAAGTCTAAAATTTAGACGTACATTATAAAGTACAGATGAGCAAACTGCTTTGTGATCGAAGACAAAGAAGAGAGATTAAAAACAAATATTTTTAGCACATTGTCATTTATAGTCCTTGTCTACAAACTGCTGCTCTCTTTGCACTATGGTTCAAATGTACAGACTCTATGACACTAGACATCAATCACATCACACAGAGAAATCTGGTCCTATATTGCTTTGTATAGTGTCTGTCGTCACTAACCAGTCAGCTTGTCCCTGTCACTATGCAGTGATTAGGAACTAACCTAGTGAGGAAAGATGTGGAATTCACAAGCCATATGTTCCATACACCATGAAATAGGACTTCAATCTACAGTTAACATTTGTACATGTACCATGGACAAGTGAGGAAAATAGAAAAATGAAAAGGCTGCAGACAAATCTTGCAATATTATAGTCATTGTACATGTAGCTGCAATACATTCCCAATATGTAATCCATTTACCTGGGACTATCACTCGATGAGCTACAACGTCCCCCAAACCATATTTGACATTTAATTTCATTCAATAAATTTTGATTTTCGAACAACAGACAGCAGTCACATTTTCCATGCATGGGGGGGGGTTCAGCTCTCAGATGTACATGTAACTGATAATATATTGCCTATAAAATGGCAAATCTTTTGTCAAAATAATGAAATACTGGCTGTTAACCAAATTTAGCAATGCAAATGCACAATACTGTTTTCTAAATGCATTAGGGCCTACATGTACATGTACGGTAGGTGTAAAACAATGAGTCCAGCAATATTGATAAAATGTTAAGCAATTGCTTGCGTTGGCCATGGAGCTAGGAACACTGAGAAATTACTAGAAAGAAATGTAAGACTTCATTCAAACATGGGGAAATATTACTCAATGGTCCATGAGAAAGTACCAGATGAGGCCTCTGCCATTACTTCCCTCTATAGAAAAGATTAAAGCTATATAATGTAAATGTACAATCTGGACACTGCATAAGCACTGGGAATGGTCTGCTAAAGTGCCTACCCTGGGAAAAAGCCAGGTAGGTTCCTGGATATTGGGAGTAGAATGTCCACGCGCAGGCAAAAGATCCCTGGTCAATTATATTACTGTCAATATGTACTGTCACCACATGCTCCAGATATTCAATGCAATTTGCAAACTCCATGAGACCAAGCCATCTGGAATACATGAAGTACCTGGAAAATCCATCACAGATGCAGCTATGCAAATACCACATTCTGAGGTTGGCTAACATGTCTCTCGGCACCATGCCTGCACTAAAACTTGCCAATGTGGATAAAATTAAGGGACAATTTGCAAAAAGGGTTATCAGTATTATTAGTGTCAAAAGAAAACATCCAGCTCAAGATGAACACAGCCATCGTACATGTACATAACTCAGTTAAATCATAGCTCTATGGTTAACTGTACTGAACATGGGCCAAACAACAAGATCAATGGTTTACAATGGTTTAGGCCAAAAAAAAAAAGTCTCCTGTTTCTGGTATGGAGCTTGCCCCAAAAGTGGTGCGGCGACGCGGCTTTTTTTCTTTTTTTTTACCTGTTTTTTTTTTTTTTGGCTTCAAATGTCGGCTGATGACTGCAAATGGTGCCCGACTAAACTTAGTGCAAATATATGGGAGTCCAGAGAGGTAACATAAAGCATATTCTCGATCATAACCCCATCTAAAAACACGTTAAAATTGTGCAGCAGCAGAATTCCAGTCAAACCAGTGAGTTTGGCGGTTTTGAGACATCATCTTGTATTGAAAAAAAAACTTTTTCATTTTGCCGACGCGCATGGCTACGGCGACGCGCGCGCATACCAAAAACCGGAGACTTTTTTTTTTGGCCTTAGCCAGGGCGGTAAGAGGGCGACCATCATTCTCAGGGGAGGGGGCTATAAATTGTTTCCGTATGGACAGAGAAAAAATTCATTTTTTGCTCATTTTTTTGTATTTTAATCAGGGCCATAACGTTTAATCAGGGCCATTCTTGTGGGGAAGGGGTCACTGACTCCAATCTGAGGACAATTATATCACATACCCGCCATGAATGTCTAGAATTCATGTAGTAATTTAAATGCTCCAAATCCACACACATTTTAAAGCAACATAGAACACAAACTGTTAATACCAAATGATATTTACAAGAGTATGAAGCTTACAACTTAGTGATCACACAAAGCATTCAAGGATCAGTTTACCTCATTTTCCTTTTGACACCTGTGTTAACTTTGTAAAATCAACTGTGTAAATTTAGACAATTTTTGTCTTTCATGTGTGTCTTATCATTACAGCAACATGCTTGATTCATTTCCATTCAGATGAAAAGGTTAATCTGCAGTTGCAACAGCCACTCTGACATTGTTATGAAGTCATGCATACACATGTACACATGTACACATGTACGGTGTACATTTGCATCTTGTATGGAGCAAAAACGAGAGATACGTGCAGAAACATATCATCATAACATTGTACATCACAAAATGACACACTGTACTTTGACCCATTATTTGAATTTGGTGGTGATAAGCTGGACAAATAACAACCCTGCCTTCACCAGTGATGTTCCATGAAACATCTGTACTGTGCAGTTGCATGACACTTTCATTAATATCACATCTCAAAAATTGGACTTTGACAAAGTTAAAAACAAGGGTTGTTTCTGTTGGCTAAGATTGCTCCCTGAGACTGAGAGATTCTTGACATGCTTGAGAACTCTTCCTAGCCATTCACATCTGGTCCAGGAAATTGGATAGAAAAATCAATTTGAAGTGACAAGGTGCCCCTGCCAATCATATAACATATTGTAATAACTCCAAGCTGGCAATATGAAAATGAGGAAAGCATCCCCAATTAGCTATTCTGAAATTCCTAATTAGTCCTCTGGGATCCTATTTGGTCATAATGACAGCTATTGTAGGAGATGGTTATCTCCATCAAGCCCAAGCTTTCTAACACCAGAGTGACACATCTAAAACCACATTTCCATGTACATGTACATAATACATGTGTTTGTACGGTATTCAATCAATGGAAAAGGTTCGAAAGAATTGAACCATCTACATGTTGAAAAAACTTACCCACAATGTCACAGATGAAAGTGATGTACTTTTTGCACTCCTAAAGCAGATTAAAATTCATAAAATAACCCAGATGTATCCTTCAGACAGATGATGCACAGAAGGTAGGATGACAGGTACATTCCACTCTGAACATTACCCATGTCACTGAACAATTTACATTATACAAGCACAACAGATCAGCAGATCACAAATTTTGGAGATGCGTGGCTTTTGATTTTTGATAGAGAATCAAGTGATACAACTCCTAAACTATGATAACCACCATGCAGTACTGCTTACTTCCACTGCTGAAGGACTTACTGCATTGAGAATTGCCTTGTGTCATGTGCAATAATAATATCCAATCATGGACCCAGTATGAGCTGTGCATAGCGGTCTTGTGACCCACAAACTGTAGAGTAGATTACACCACTAGCACAAAGCCTTGCTGTTATAAGCTGTTCACTCTGAATGCAGTCAGTGTACTCAGTGGATAGGACCAGGTCACTGCAAATCCCTTTTAGCCAATCAGAGTAAACCATTACCAGTCACTGACTGACTCTGGAATCATTGATGGACTTGCACTGTACTCAGCCATGAAAAGATTGCCATGTAAATTTCTGTACCTGGCAAGTTTAGTAAGTTGGGAAGGAGGAAGGGGGCATGAATAAGGGGAAGATATGTTTTGATGGGCTGGGAAATCAACAATATACAAGTATCAACGATCAGCCAATTTTTATTGATTGCAGGCATTATACTGTAATGTTCTAGGACAATTTACCCAAAAGTGAACACAGGTGAAAAGTGGAAAATTTATGATATATGCAGAACTACAATGTCACAACCTTAAGTGTGGTATCAAATTAAAAGGGACAAGACCTTTCATTTGAGTGGTGTGCCAGTGAGATGGAAGCACTGGGGGGGGGGGGGGGGGGGGGGGGGGGGGGGAGGGGAGTATAGATTTAAGGTACCGGTAGTCATTTTGGCACCTTGTTATTTTTTTCATGCAAAGTGCATGTGTTACTGTGTGAGTTTAAGATCATATTATATGCCATAAGAATTTGTTTTGTTTATTAATTTCTTTTATGATTTAACTATGCTCAAATGCATGAATATACGTTTTTCTTTTGTTATCAGGGACAAGCCTTGAATATTTGGTATCATGATTATACACACACAAAAAAGGAAATTTCTGTGATGAAACTTTGAATGTAAACAATCGCAACTAGTTGAAACAGGTACAATGTACTTGTGTAATATGAGTTTAAGATCACAAGTTGTCCATTTAATTATTTATGGAAATATTACGATGATTGCAAATGAAAAAAGCCAGGTTCACAAATTTGAGAGAAAAACATTGAGTATCAGAGATGTAAACAGTAAGGGTGTGCAATGTAAATTACAGGTAGTACAGGAATCGGGTACCCATAGAAACCCAACCCCAACATTTAAATCTCGGAAGTTGCTGTACAGATTGTGAGGTTCGCATGATAATACTACCACTGCATTGATGTACAACAAGATACAAGTGTGTAAAGAACCCTTGATAGGCTACATGTAAAGCTTTACGGTATAATTTGCATTTTCGAAGCGTCACAAACGTGAATCTGTTTTGTTATTCCTTAATTGTAGCCTGCTTTTCACTTTGAAAATTCACCACAAATGACATTCAAAACCTTTCCTTTTCAGTGTCTGAGAAGTTACTAAGTACATGTAATTATGTAAAGTTGGTTAAGGGTACTCGATTCCATGATCTAGAATCAGCGGTAGGGTTCCTAGGTTCCGATGCACAACCCTTGCTTTCCTTCTGCATGAACTGACTAGTGGTACAGTAAACTCTGGCCAAGTCGACATCGTGCAACTCATCAAATCGCTCTAGTCGGCAGTCTGACTAAAGTCCCGATTGTCTGTAATGCATTTCCATTGAATTTTTTATTTGTAAGTCGGCTTTTGTAAGTCGCCATTCTGTTCAAGTCATCATGTTACTCTCGGTCCCCTTTCCATAAAAAGCATAACAAAATCCTTTGTGTAAGTCGGCATTCAAAAAATCACGCATTGGCATCAACTTCCTGTACTGCGGTTGGCAAGAAGTGTCAAGTGAAAAATGGTTTGGCACGGCCATGATCGCTGCATCGGTGTCGCTGCACAGCCAAGACAAGAAGTTTCCTCCTGCATATCATCGTGAGCATATCAATACCAGTACCCCCTAGTCTGTACGCATGCGCTCTATCCATTTTGGGGGTCGTCTTATTGAATGATGCAGTCAATACCTGCAATGATGCGGTCAATGCATGCCTGGTATACCATGCACGCATTTAATTTGTAACTGTGCATGTACATGTATTACTGTTCTGAACACATGGTCTCCACTACCAATACCCCAAACGTGATGATAAAATTCGAAGATTAATTCGCTGGATTCAACTCAAGCATTAAGGAGATAAACCCGGGTAAATCGAAGCCAATTAGTGCAATGAATCATGTGTACAAAAAGGCCAAGTCGGCAAAATGACGACTTACAGCAGCTGTCGGCATTCGCGTAAGTCGTCACAAATTCTTGGGTCCCGAGAGTGCCAACTTAGCCGGAGTTTACTGTACATACAAGGTGTCAGAAATCAAAATTTTCTCCTTCATTTCATCTTCAAGTTCAAGTGCAAAAAAATCAGAAGTAGAGATTTAACTAAACTCATCTAAATTCTATATTTTTACATCAGTTTTACACGTAGGATTCATGGCACATGAGCAAAATATATTCATACTCAACTTTAACATCTTCATCCCTTAAAATTTATTAGAGAGCCATTTTCCCTTGAATTTACTGTGAACTAAATTTTCACGGATTTTCAACATATTAAGGGGGACTGGGAGTCCATGAAAACACCCTTAGGGAAGTCCTTCAACCCATGGAGATAGACACAGTGTACCGTTATGTATAACCAATGATAATCCTCAGTGGCCAGGGTCATTAAAAAAACGTGAAAATAGTCAAAATACCCTTACAGGATTAGTCCTATAAGCCCCAGGAAACTATCCGTGAAACATCTCTTAAAGATTTATTTCAAGGAGAAGTGGACTTAATTTAAGGGCTTAGATGTTCATAATTCCTTTGGGTGAGTAACAATTCTTAGGATAAACACAGCACAGCACAGCAGTAATTAAACTTGAGAGTAAAAGTTCTTAGCCAAAGAAAAGTAAGGTTGGTCTTGGCCCACAACTTGTAGGCAAACCTCAATAGCAAATATGCTGAATCTTGCGTGATTGCAGTCAATATAACATCCTGTGGTAAGAGAAAAGCCACATGCAACCTGCCCCCACACTGCTCCAATTCACCACCTCATCAATGCATGCAATGTGGTACAAACATCTGAGAGATGTCAGACTGGTTAGTGGCCTAATAGGCAATGATGACGCACAGTAGGACAGACAGCTTGGGCATGCGGAGTCCAACCAAGAAACACAATCTGGATTGAAATTCTCACTAAAAAAGAAAAGACTGAAATGAAGGAAATTGAGAAAACTAAATTGGGTTTCATTGGTACAGAGTCAATGACAACTGCATAGCTGACAGCAATGCAGCTAGGCTCCCACCATGTGGTCAGGAGCAGGCATTTAGGCAAACCATTGGAGTGAATAAATGACTGAGACAGCTGAAGAGATGCCAGCAATTGAAATGGTCAGAGGTTCAAAATATCCACTGCAAAACGTCAATCATACAATTTTGATAGGCATGTGCCTTGTTGAATTATTGAACGCTCATAACATCTCTTAGGCCTATACATGTACCGGTACACTGTATGCATGGGTGTATGTTTAAACAGGAATCAAGCATGACAGTATCTGCAAATATGAAATGCAAAATGTGGTCTCAACTAGACAGCAATATGGTGTAATCGTCACTAAAATAAAGTCATCTGGTCTGTACTTATATAGCAGCTCAACGAGGCTTTAGTCCCAAATTTCACACAATTGACCTACCAGTATCGCCGTTTGCCAGTTGGCCACGCCCCTTAGACAACCCTATGGAATTTGTGTACGCTCAGATGTTGCGTGTTTGTTTGCGTCCATTTGTATATCATGTAATTGGACAATATTTCACAAGCTGCGTTGACGTGATTTTACCGCGATTCTATCGTAATAGTCTTGTGTCTTTTCAGAGTCCCAACAAATTTGGATCATCATCTATATGTCGGTGAAGGGCAAAACCCAATATTGAATTGACATCAGCCCAACACAAACTCCATCTTCTGAATGGTTTGTGGGTATTGGATGTGTCCTTCAAGGTTCTCATCTACTAGTGCCATAAATACTGTCTGCAAACGCACCTGTATACAGTATACCTGTACATTGTACGTGTAATTTTCCATGCTCTTGATTAATTTTTCTAAACTGAGTTTACATGAGTCACTTCTAGGCTGTAACACCTTCACTTCTTATCCAAGGCAATAATTACACAATGTCTGTTCCTGAATTTCAAGGCATGGCAGTCATCATTTATTTATTCATTTAAAGAAGACCAACAGTGGTTGACTGCCTCTTACAGGTATCATAAAAGTTACGGACAATGAAAGGAATACTTATTTGTCTCTGTATCTAATACCACAGCCTCAGTGCAGCAATTTATCAGGCAGTAATTGTTTCATTGAGAAATCAATCTGTTATTATAATAATATTTATTATTATTATGATACATGTAAATGTACCATTAAGGAGACACGGTATCGTAATTTCTTCGAAAGGTGGGAGACATCTATCATTAGGGAGATATTTTCATGTCTCCTTGATGTCACAGTCCCCCTTTAGAGGCAGAATTTTACTGTCGCAATTAGATTATTTTTGTTGCTTGAGGTCTAATTAGTAAACATACCGAAATTCGTGGAAAAAGGACAAGGAAAAATTGGGTTAGGGCACATTTAAGTTTGAAAAATGTTGTATACAAGTCTATGGGAATGTCTCCCAAATGTCCAATCCAAGGTAATAATTATTATTACTATTTTATTTCTCTCCACATGAATAGATACAATAATGTTATACAACCCATCAAATTTTTAAAAAATCATCACAAGAAAAAATAGATGAGGAGAAGGCAAGACTGGACCGTGGAGGTACGGTACCCGACGGTACAGTCTGCCCATTTAAAATGTGAAGTGAAGGGAAAATTGACAGTAAAACAAAAACAACAAGTCAGGTGTGTTTACAAACACAAATGCCCCGCAACCGTGACTGTTCCCATGACATAACACCACTCTTTTAACATCAACTTACATGTACCTTGGTCACATGGAACATTCATTGACAGCATTAGTGTCTTCTGTAGGTTTTATATGAATTAATCCCTAATCCCTATAATCTCAGAATAAATACAAGATTTCTATTGTTTTAGCCACTGTGAACTTGACCCTTGACCTTTTTGCCCCAAATTCAATAGGCTTCTTAGG